GCCCCCGTTGCACTTTAGAGCTCACTCCTGGGTCCTGCCAGCAACCGTACAACGTCTAGGTCTATAGACAAGCAAACATCATGGACAAAGACAAGGGATCCGGAATGACTGTTTCTGTTTTATCGTGTGAGGGCAGCCACTTCTACCCAACCCTGATGTTGTGCAACGTGTGAGGCTCGGAGGTGTAAGCTGCTGGTGGGACGTTTAACACCCTATCCAACGTGCCACCGGCACGTTGTCCTGTATCCCATCTAATAAGTCAGAAATAGCTAGTTCCCTTTTTCGTATTTTTGTCGGTAATGCGTTTTTTCCCATTCTCCTATTTTTTTCCTCGCCACAACATATGCCTTGAGACCAACTTCTTTCTCAATGTTTCGTAGACATATTCCATGTTGACTACTGTCCTGCGCAGTAAAATATGATGTATTTGTCTACGGAATTTGTATTTTATTTCAAAATTTAAAAAACCAGCCACGGTTATTCCATCCTGAACTATGACGCTAGTTCCATTGTTTCCGCGTCCTACCTTTTATCGATTGTCGGATGCTGCTTTTTAATAGATGGAACTCGTAAATTAACTGTATCATTTACAGAAGACCACTGTTTGAGCACTCTGTTAAATGTTAGGTAAAAGGGGTTAAATTCAACCTAAACATAGTTTTCTTATGCTAATTTGTTCCTACTTTTAGGTTAGTATCTGACAGACAAGTCTGACTGCATATCCCCTTGTCAGTAAAAAAAGTCATCTTCTCGAGGTAAATAGAATCTATTTTACCGTCGTATAGTAAAATTCCGTTTTTGAATTAGCACAGGTAGTTTTCTGCGCTGTCACGACCTCTGCCTAGATCACTGATTCCTTTTCAACACACTCGCGAATCGCACTGACTGGTTGAGGCAGGGAAGGTGTAGGAGTCTGGGTGGGGTGAATTTTCCGGGGATGGGAGGTGGGAACCGGAGGGGGAGGAGGGGAGTGGTGGCTAGCGTGGGAGGGATGATTATTGGGACCACATACGGTGGTAAGGAGGAGGTCATCCGCCTCCGATATGGGCAGGTCTTCTGAATACTGGGACGAAATTGAATTAATTGAGGATTCTCCGCAAGAAGGTTGTTTCCCTGTGGGTTGAAAGTCCGGTATAGCAACATGTCTGGTTGCTTTCAGTGGCCAAGAATCCTCCCCATGCGATGTAGATCGGCTGGAACTGGTAACTTTGCGGTTTCCCGGGGCGGTAGAGGTCTCGTTAACCCTGTGGTCTGCCGTATTGCCGCTTCGGTCCGCAAAGTGCAATCTATGGCAGTATTCGTCCTGAGCTTCGGCCACTAGCCCTTCATCTCCAATTTTTTCCTCAGGAGGAAAACGCCGTTTTAGGGAGCTGCGTTGTCTTCGAATGGAAATTTTCATTTGGCCGGGTTGTTTTAACCTTTTTTCGGCCTTTGGATCCTGTAAGTTGGTTGCTGCCTCGGTGGTAGTTGACGGAGAAGGGAACTCCTTGATAAAAAACCGTCGCGTCCTTCTCGGCTCTGTGGCTTTACGCCTGTTTGGTGCGGACAAAATTGGAGGTTCCTTGTTCATCCAGTCGGATCTGGAAATTTTGATCACTCTGCAAGTGTCCTGATCGGTATTTGCACATACAGAGCCTGTGGCGGTGGATCTGTAAACAGGTGGTTGTTGTGTAAACATGGAGGGACAAGAAGATGGTAGATGGCTTTCGATACTGCAACTGATGGTATCCGCCTTTGCCGATGGTGGAGGCCTTGAGG